ATAAGATTGAGTGAGTGTTTGATTTATTAACGACGTCTAATTTCCAATTTCCCTTCAAACACTTTAGCAAACAAAACGAAAAACTTTCGGAAAAATATGACTCGCCTTTTTCCATTTGATTTATTATACTTACAGATTAATTTTTGCTGATTTAGAAACTTGTTATTACGAAAAAAATGTAATTGATGACAGTAAAAATGAGCGAAGAAATATATTTAGTAATAGCATTCATATAGTAAATCTGAAAAAGTCTGAATATTTAAATATAAGTTTGCTATTACTTTTATCCCTTTCTCATAATTTCCTTCCGTCTCTAAAACAATCTTTAGATATATATTCTCGTTTAATACGTTTCTAACATGAAAGAATCGATTTAAAAATGCATTCCAGTTTGTCTTTGACATTTTAAATTCGTTTTTGAAATATTCACAACGGGGAAATAGACTGCGACGACGACAAGACGCGGCGGTGTATTTCGCATGCAAAATGATGTAGGTGGAGAGCTGGCGGTTGAGTTAAAATTGTTGGTTTAATTTTAAAATTACAACAGCGATACATACAGTAAAATTGTTGGTGTCACTTTAGCAGATTATGGTTTTTCTAGACGATTTTCTATTCTCTCGGACGATTTTCTATGCTGTCGGACGATTTTCTACGCTCTCAGACGATTTACAACGTTTTCAGATAAATGACATTTTCAGATGGTTTGCAGCATTTGCAGGCGATTTCCATTGTTTCATATTTTTCGCAACATTTCCAGGCGATTTCACAATCGATTTGCAACACTTTCAGGTGGTTTTCAACTTTTCCAGATGATTTTCAACGTTCTCAGACGTTTTGCAGCATTACCAGACGGTTTGCAATACTTTCAGAAAATTTGCAACATTTTCAGATAATTTTCAACGTTCTCAGGCGATTTGCAACTTTTTCAGACGATTTGCAACTTTTTCAGATGATTTTAAGTGTTCTCAGACAGTTTGCAACACTTTCAGACGATTTGTAATGTTCTTAAACGATTTGAAATACTTCTGAACGATTTTCAATGTTTTCAGACGATTTGCAACATTGTTAGGCGATTTGTAGCATTTTTAGACAATCCAGCAAATTTTCAGACTTTTTTACAATACTTTCATGCCTCCAAGTATACTTTCAGACTACCTATAACATTTTCAGGCAATCTAGACTATTTTCAAATCATCTTGACTATTTACACACCACCGAGAACATTTTCAGGCTGCTTAGAAAACATTTTCAGATTATTTTGAACATTTACAGACTATCTAGAACAATTTTAGACCATGTAGAACATTTTCAGAATATTTTTAGAGCACCTAGAACATTTTCAGGCATTTTCAGACTACTTAGAATATTTTCAGATAATCTAGAACAACATTTTTAGACAAACTAGAACATTTTGCGATTTTCTGGATCGTTTTTAGACCATCTAAAACATTTTTGATACTTTTTGTAAAATTTTCAGGCCATTTTGAATATTTGGAGACTATCTGGAATATTGTCAGGTTATTTAGAACATTTTCAGACTATCTAGAACAGTGGCAAGTTATCTAGAACATTTCCTAACCAATAAGAAAATTTCTAGGCCATCGAGAGCATTTTCAGGCTATGTAGAATATTTTCAGACTATCTAGAACATTTTCAGACTATTTAGAAAATGTTTTCAGACAATCTAGAACATTTGCAGACTATTTAGAACATTTATAGATTATCTAAAATAATTTTAGACAATATAGAACATTTTCAGACTATCTAGAACATTTTGGGACTTTCTAGATCGTTTCCAGGCCATCTAAAATATTTTGGGGCTTTCTGGAAAGTTTTCTCTTAGAATATTCTTAGAATATTTTTAGGCTATGTAGAACATTTTCAGACTATCTAGAACATCTACAGACAATCCAGAACATTTTCAGATTATCTAGAACATTTTCTAACGAAACATGTTCAGACTAATCAGAATACTTTCAGACTATATAGAACATTTCTAGACCATTCAGAATATTTTCAGACTATCCAGAACATTTTCAGACGATCTGAAACATTTGCAGACTGTTTAGAACATTTCTAGACCATCCAGAGCATTTTCAGGCTATCTAGAACATTCTCAGACTCTTAACAATATTCCCAGATTATCTAAAATATTTTCAGGCTATTTAGAACATTTTCAGGTCATATTGAACATTTTCAGGCCCTTTACAATATTCTCAAATTAACTAAAATATTTTCAGGTCATCTAGAATATTTTTAGGCCATCTAGAACACTTCACCCACCCTTTACGATGTTTTCATATTATCTAGAATTTTTTCAGAATATTTATATTTTCAGACCCTTTACGATATTGTCAGATTATCTAGAATTTTTTCAGAATATTTATATTATTTTTATCTAAAATATTTTCAGACCTTTTACGATATTTTCAAATTATCTAGAATTTTTTTCAGGCTATTTAAAACATTTTCAGGCCATATAGAACATTTTAGGATTTTTTACAATATTCTCAGATTATCTAGATTATTTTTGTGCTATCTAAAACATATTCAGATTACCTAGAGCATTTTCAGACCTTTTACAATATTTTCAAATTATCTAGAATATTTTCAGACCCTTTAAAATATGTCGAAATTATCTAAAATATTTTCAGACTGTTTAAAACATTTTTAGGTTTTCTAGAACATTTTCAGATCCTTTAAATATTTGAAGATTATCTATATTATTTTCAGGCCATTTGAATGCTATATAGAACAATTTCAGATTATCTAGAACATTTTCAAACCACATCTAGAATATTTTCAGAATATTTAGAACATTTTTAGACTATTTCAAATATTTTCAGAACATCTAGAAAATTTTCAGACTACTTATAACATTACAAGTCCACCTTTAGCAGATCATCCAGAACATTGTCAAAAAATCCATATAGTTTACAGACTATGTAGAACTTTTTCGGACTATCTAGACTAGAACATTTTAAGGACATCTAGAACGTTTCTGTATTGTTTTCAGCCCATCTACAACTTTCTGAGACTTTTTGGAAAGTTTTGGAACCACTTAGAATATCTTGAGACCATCTAGAACATTTTCAGAAAATGTAGAACATTTCAGAATATCTAGAACTACATGACAGATTTTAGCGCATTTTTTTCCAAGACGAAATAAAAGTTTAAAAAATTTTGATGCAAATTAAAATACTAATCAAAATATACATTTTTTCAAAACTAATATTTGATAACATTTTTGTTTTTATTTTGGTGAATCTAAAAATTTCCTTTTCATAATATTAATATCTAATTATTAAACATTAAAATTTTTTCCACCAGCTCTCCGTCTATTCCCGATCTGTTATTTTCGCTCTGAAAATAAATATTGATGAAAGTGTTTCCATCGTGGCGATATTAAATTTCTGTTTTTGGTTCTTTTATCGGCAAATTATTGGCAAATAAATAAATATTTAAATCTATAAATACGAAATGTTTGTGTTGTGATTGGTTTCATGAATGCAAATAAAAGCGACGTTATAATAAATTCATGGTGAAGTTGAAATTGAATTCCAAATGAAAAGAGTAATTGAAAATGAAGTATAAATTTTATTATTATTACAAAAAATACTAATTAAACGTTTACTATTTTATAAACTATTTAACTTCCCGTAGGGTAGTTATAGTAATGGGCCGAAAATCGAAAATGAAAATTTTTGCATTTTTCGCCGTTTTGAAGGTTTCTGAACATTTTTAAGGGGCATACCTCAGAAACTAAATGGATATGTGTGTATGTGCTTTGTATGTCCGCCTTTTTTTGTCCACGTTTTCTGCCGCAAGGATCAACTTATTTCAAGGTTTAAAAAACATTCGATCCCTATTGACAGGGAGATGTGCTGATTAGTTTTTGGCAAAGGCAGGTCCAGCCGTTACGGAGATACGGAGCAAAGAATGCAGAAAATAGAAATAGAGTTTTTGAGAGAACGGATCATCCGATTTGTATGATCCGAAAAACATTCAGTTCGTAATGACGGGGAAAAGTGGTTATTAGTTTTTGGTAAAGGTAGACATAGCGGTTTCGGAGATACAGAGCTAATTGTTAAAAAAAATTGCGGTTTTTCATTCAAAGAAGTTTCTGCTTGTATTGACAAAACAATTGCTTTTGAGGATAAAAAATTATTACATCTTTTTTTTATTTTCCATAAAATATTTTTGTGATTTTGGATTAAAAATTCAAAAAATTACCCAGCCTAAGCACAGTCTAAGAGCCACTCTGGTACAAATGCGTTACCCAAGTGCGTTTAGACTGTTTATGTATTGGACCGATTTTCCATATTTGTGAAAAGAAATAGCAAAATGTGAAAATGCCGCCAAGCTAAGCTCAGTATAAGTGAAAATGTCGCACAGAATTATTTGCAAATGCGTTTAGACTGTGACTATACGGGAGCACTTTTTCAATTTTGTGTAAATTGGGCAACTATTTTCTTTTTGAAATTGAATTCGAAATGAAATGACCATTGTTCATGTTCTGGAGATAAATTGGTTGATTTATGATTTACATTTGATTTGCTCAGATATAACAAACAAGATAGCAAAAATAATGAAAATTTCATAGTATTTGTAGTAATATATTTGAAAACGTTTAAAATATCTCGAATATTTTATTACAGTACGGGAAGTTCCAGCAATTTGCCTTAAGGCACGATGCCATACACCACTAGTTTATTACTAGTTCCACATTAGGATTATTATTTAAATTTATTTAGTTTGCTAGCGAAACTCGCACGAAATGATTTATCTTTGATGTTTGCTCTTGCGTACATTGTTTTGATATATTCCACTCGCATATAATATACAAATACATATATACATATACATATATATATATATATATATATATATACACGGATATAATAAATGATTGCTTATATTCCCATTATCATTTGAGAGAAATCTTATTAGCGTTTGCTTCACGGCTCGGGGGTTATTTGAATTAGGCGCGCTTTAATATGTATCAGGAAGATTGTTGTGTACCGGGAACAGTCGACGGCGGAGACGGGGATGATCCACTCTATACAAATACGAGTTATGAGGTTTGTGCACGATATATTGCGGAAAATTACGAGATATAATAATGGATATATGTATATATTGTTGTGCACCCCTGGGCTAACAACAATTTATGTTGTGGATCCGTTGCCAACAATTATGTTGCCTCACACCAACGATGTCAACAATTTAAATTAGGTTCTTCTGCTTCTTAACATAAACTTTACCACTGTGAAATATTTAATTAAACATCTGAAGACATTTATTAATATTTATTTAATTCATTACTTGGTTACACTTATTACACAATTGATATTTTGAATCAGAGTGATGTGAACTGTTTGGCTTTTAGACAACAAATAAGCACCGATCGGTAGTCTCTCGGCTTTTTATAATCTCCGATGGTGACGCAATTATTCTTCCAGAAAAATACGTTAAAATGACTCACTCATATTTACTTTAGACGTAGTTTTGTGGTTTGTTATCGAAGAAAACCGTTACAGGCTTGTATACAATGTTGCTTATCTGCAATACTTTGTTGCGTACAATATTGCAAGCTTCATCATACCAATTGCGTTATTCATATTGACTATTACATCGAATTTATAATATTATTTATAACTATTGTAAAGGGTGAATACCACTACAACATATACATCTTTTTTCTAAATTTTGACGCGTTTGCCCAATATAAGATTAAAAGCAGTTCAAGCAGTTCATTTTGTAAACAATATCTTTTCTTTTTATGGTAGGTATACTGTCTTTAATGTTTGTGTATATATCTTGCAGTTGTAGTAAGGGTGACACGGATATGTTAATATTGTGTTTATTAAAAAGTCTTTTGGATAAAAGGTGTAAATTTTTGTCTATATACGGAAAATTCACAAAACATTTATTTTCTGATATAGACAAGTTATTTGCGCAATTTGTGGTTATATTATTTTGTCTAATAAAAATTTAATTCTATTTCTTATTGGATTGATTATTTTGCAAGGAAAACTATTCATTAGTAATGTGTTAATGACTAATTTAATTTAACACATTAGTCCATTACTATATTACAGTGTATTGAATGACTTGTAAAGGATAATACATAATGCTGATTTAGGTTTTCATATTTTAAATTTTGAATTATAATACACTGATGATGAGACAAACCTAGTCTCGAAACGTTTGTGAAAATTATTATTTAATGAATTAGTGCCGAAAAAGTGTTGTTTGTTCATATTTCTAAATTAATATCTATCTATCCGCTCAAAATACATTTGTTATATATATATATATATATATATATATATATATATATATATATATATATGACTTGGTCACTTGCCAATGCAAGGTTTAGTTGATGTTTTATATTAAAAAGTCCAAATTTAGTTTTAAATAAAATATTAAAAAGAATGTTTAGTAATAAATAACTGTTATTGAAATTACACTGATGATGAGGCACACCTTAGTCTCGAAACGTTTGTAATAATAAAATAAAGTTGTGATAAAAAAATCTGAGTGCTGTTTTGTTCATATTAAACAATTAATATTTGTTCCACTCATATCATAAAATTCTATATATATATATATATATATATATATATATTAAGGTGGTCCTTAACATGGATATTCTCGAATTTCTTTGCTCCCAGTTGCTCAAACGCTTCCGAAATGATAAAAAATCATTTTCTGAAAGTTTTAGCTCTTAATATTGACTGTAAGATATTCCGCACTCCAACCGAAGTTTAATCAGTTTTTCATTTAGTCAACACAAATAAAATGTTTTTTGTTTCATTCGAATCGGATGCTCCGTTCTCTCAAAAATTGAATTGCAATTTTTGCCACTTTTTGCGCCGTGTCTCCAAAACGTCCGGACCTGCCTTTGCCAAAAACTAATCAGCACGTCTTCTTATCAATAGGAATCTAATGTTTTTTCGAATTCGTTGACTATATATTTTAATACTGCAGTTTAACTGTTAGTGTCATATCTATAAGCAGTATGGGCATACCAAGAGCTATTGTATTCCTAAATCTATTTCGTTAAAATGTTAGTTTTATGTTATTTTTAAAACTTATGGACAATATTTAACATTAGAAAAATAATAATACTTAGTAGCAAATATTTTTAAGTAAAAGTTAAATATTTTTAGTGATTTTTGGAAAATATAGAGAAGTTTAAATTTTTGTTTTAGGTCTCCTTATCGATAGGAATCCGTTCTCGAAAACGTCGACTACATATTTTAATACTAATAATAGTTTTAAAAAATGTATATGTATGTAAATGTATTTTATCTTAAATTTCGACTTGGGGAGCATTACGATAAATATCTGTCATGTAGTTCTAGATATTCTAGGATCTGAAAATGTTCTAGAATGCCTGAATATTTTCCACATAACCAGAAAATGTTCTAGATTGTCTTAAAATATTCTAGGAAAGTGGCCCTAAAATTTTCCAGAAAGTCTCGGAATGTATATGGGCTAGAAACAATCCAGAAAGTCCCAAAACGTTCAGCATGTTTTTAAAATGTTCTGGATAGTCGAAAAAGTTCTACAAAGCCTGTAAAAGTTCTACATTTTTTGACAAAGTAGTGTCATATCTATAAACAGTATGGGCATACACAGAGTTATTGTATTTCTTAATTTAAAGTATTTAATCTAATTTAATTTTAGATATAAATTTTTGTTATAGGTATTGCGATTTTGGACTATTTTTCTAAATATTGTTAAAACTCTCAAGCATTAGTTAGTATTTCGAAAAATTAAATGAATTGAATTATATTCTAAATATATTTAGAAAAATATACAATCTTAAGAAATTTTGTGTTTGTGCGAGTCGATATTACGTCAAATCACATTCAATTTAATTTAAAAAAACTTTATAGCGTTTTGAAAATATATCAATTTGCACTAATAAGACGTCCATAAGGTATTTTAATGACCATTAAATAAATCGATAACTATTTCACTTTTATCAAATTTTAATTAACTTCTTGCAACTTAAATATAATTTTAAAATAATTTTATTTTAGCGATTTCTGGTTAAGTGTACATCAGGGGTTTCCATCAAAGAAGACGTTTTTCTTTTGAAAGGAGAGAGGTTTCTTGATGGAAAATTGCTGCAGGCGAAAGGTGGAGCAACAGGAGCAGAAAATAACACGGTCGTTTCTGTTTGTTCTCAATCATTATAATTATAATTAGTTCGTTCTTTAATTAACTAAGAATGGGGGATTATTGTAATATTAAATATATATATATATATATATATATATATATATATATTGTAACAGTCTAGTAATCGAGCATAACATCAATAAAAAACATGAATTTCTTTCAAAAATTTATTTTAATTCCATACGTTTTGGCTATAATCCTAGCCTTCATTCAGTGGAAAATAAAATTAAAAACTGAAACAATTGAATTGGAGTGAAAAGAAAAAATAAAATAGTAAATAGTACTTACAATTAGTTAATTTTAGTGTTAAATTGTAAAATTTTAATAATCCATGGTATCAGGATATGGTACCATGGTTTACCAAAACAAATACCCCTTTTAATATCGAACGACTTAGAAATCTCGTCTATCAAATTAATTGTTTAGATTGTAATTTAATTTACATAGGAGAAACAAGCCAGAACTTACTGAAACGTTTACAGCAACATAAAAACAATTAAACAAATCCGAGACAATTTAAAACTATGATTGCGGAGCATATTTATACTTTAAAACACAATATGGACTTTTCTTACCCGACTGTACTACAATTCGAACAAAATTTATTCAAACGAAGAATTATAGAAGGATCTTTTTCAACTATTTATAGCAATAAAACAATAAATAAACGGAATGAACTGAACACGCTGTGCGACACGAATCTCTTTTATTTAGATAGTATTTCCAAATTTCTCACAAAACAATAAAAACGACACGCAAAGGATTCGCAATTCGTTCCGCACATGTGTAGAATCTTGGTAAAAAATATTTTTTAAAATGTCCTTTCTCCATTATATCTTCAACCAGTCTACGAACAACACACTATCCAATTGTGATTTTTTAAATTAGTACTTTGTGAAAATATTGTGTAATTACAAGTTTAATGTTTATAATACATAGTGTAGTGTATTACCACCATATCCTGATACCATGGATTATTAAAATTCTCTAATTTAACACTAAGGTTAATTAATTGTAAGTACTGTTTACTATTTTATTATTTTCTTTTCACTCAAATTCAATTGTTTTAGTTTTTAATTTTATTTTTAGTTTCCACTGAATGAAGGCTAGGATTATAGCCGAAACGTATGGATTTAAAATAAATTTTTGAAAGAAATTCATGTTTTTCATTGATGTTATGCCCGATTACTAGACTTTGTTAATACATATGTCAACATCAAATTCAGAATCATACAATATATATATATATATATATATATATATATATATATATAGATTTATCGTCCTCGTTGTATCGTCCAATATCGATAACTCTCTGTCAATAATATATTGATATGAAAATCAATTCTCGGAATTATGCAAATAGCTCCACCATGTATTGACACGTTGGAATAAATTGCGGACGATATTATATTTACATAAATAATGTACGTGACGGGCGTCGTTTCGGTTTAAATAGAGCGGAAAATGAAGTGGAGTGAAGTGAAACTTCTTGTGACAAGATGGTGGAGACAAATGTATTTTTTAGTTGTAAATAAGAGTTATCAAATATTTTCCTCTATTCTACTGATTTTATCCATTGATACCAAATTGGTAGAACCCTCTCGATATTGTTCTAGTGGTTCGGAATGTAGAAAGTAGAAAATGGAAAATTTCAAACGAGAAAAGTACTAGAAGTCCATCGCACGATTCACTCGTTATTTTCCGCCGAAACAATTATAATTTAATGTGAACTTAAGCTCCTTCACCGCCACTCGTACTTCAACTCTCTTTGGCGGACTTTAGTATTCAATTTCCAGTCATTTGACTCTTTAGTAGAGTTTTTGGGTTAATAGGATGTAAAGGAAATTTTAAACTTAGGGCCTTCTGGAAAGTTGCTTTTCGGAGACTCGATTTGTTGAAAGTATGAACACGCTACACTCTTGTTTGCACTATCTTAATTCGAGCACGTTAAGGTTTTTTTTCAAAAAAAACTGTGCGTTAAGGGGTTAAATTCGTTTTCTATCAAATCTGAGAATTGTATGTAAATATTTTTTGTTTAAATTATTAGAGTAAATAGTCTTCACATAAAAACCGGTTTTCTTAAATACCGGTTTTCTAAAATTTTAATCAAATCTGTTCTTAATCACTCGAAATTTTCTGTTAATTTTTTTAGTTCGAACTATTTGAGTAAATAGGAAATTTTTGGTAAATAGAAAATATCTTTTCTATGAAATCTCAAAACTGATCTCCAAAGAAAATACTGCTCGAAAACCGGTTTTTTGAATTGTAGGTTTTTTAACATGTTATACAAAAATGCTCTCAACTTTTTGATAGTTTTTGTTCACCTTATTCGAGTAAATAGTTTTTTTTATGAAAACTCGAAATCTATCGAAACCAGGAAAATACTGATCGAAAACCGGTTTTTCTGAAATGTCGGTTTTCTAGCATTTAAATCACAGCTGCTCTTAATCACTCAAAATTTTGTTAAATTTTTTTATTAGAATTGATTGAATTTAATTAGAACCGTTTTTTTAAATATAGTTTTTTTAACATTTTAATTAAAAGTGCTCTCAACTTCTCGATATTTTTTGTTTGAATTATTCGAGTAAATAAATTTTTTCAATGAAAATTCAAAATCGACCGAAACCCCACGAAAATACTGCTTGAAAACCGATTTAGAAATGCCAGTTTTCTAGCATTTCAGTCAAAACTGTTTTTAATAACTAAAGATTTTCTATTCAATTTTTTCGAGCAAATAACTTTTCTACGAAAACTCGAAAACGACCGAAACCGGGTCCCTAGAAAAATACTGCTCGAAAACCGGTTTTGTAAAATGTAGGTTTTTTTTAATTTTCGTAATCGTAATCACTCAAAATTATGTTAAATTTTTTTATACGAATTGTTCTAGCAAATATTTTAGTCAAAACTGTTCGTAATAACTCAAAATTTTGTTAAAAAAAATCGAATTGTTCGAGCAAATAGCTTTTCTATGTAAACTCGAAAACGGCTCCCGAAAAAAGTACTGCTCGGAAACCGGTTTTCTGAAATGTCGGTTTCCTCAAATTTCAGTCAAAACTGCTCTCAATTACTCTAAAATTTTTTATTAAGTTTTTTTGTTCAAAATATTCACCGAGAAAAATACTTTTCAGGATCCGGTTGTCTATATGTCGATTTTCTGACATTTTACTTAAACCTGCTTTTAGTTGCTAAAAACTTTTTTGCCTTTATTATTCGCTCGAAAACTGGTTTTCTGAAATCGGTGTTTGTATAAACTATAATATATACTGAATAAATAATTAATTACAATTATCTTAATTATACTAGTTATAATTATCCTTTATATATTTGTAAAAGATTTTAAACAGCTCCACTGTTACACCATCTTTATATTATTTTATTATTTCCATTCGCGTAAAATTTTATTATTGATTCAAAATCCGATTAATTAGAACAGAATCATTAATTATAACGAAGGTTCAAGAATTGCTTTTCCGTAGCAATTTCTATTGTTTTCGTCTAATTACAAAAGCGAGGAATCAGCATTTTTGGCGGAATCGATTTCATCTCTCCTCGACCCTAGGAAAAATACTAGTAATGGAACTAGTGATGTATAATAATTGTATAAGTGTTATAATATGAATTTTAACTGAAATCTAGAATTCAGTTATCATAACATTCTTAATAGAAAATCAAATAGATAGACGTTTTCACAGTACTTACTACCAAGCAATAAGCATAAGACAGCGTTGCCACGACAAATTGATTTTTATTGCATTCTGTAAATATTTGTTTGAAATGCTTTACTAAAATTTTACGAGTACGATTTTATTAACTAGTTATCGTGGTTTTAATAACTTTTAATTCGACACTCTGACTTTACCTCTGACTGAGCTTTTTCACACACAATGATTATTCGAAATAACCTAAAGATCACATCTAAACCTTTTTGACATATGCGTAAAATCTCCAATATATTTCTAACATGGGAATCTATACATATGTATGTATAAAACGAGAAAAAGAGACAGGGTGTGGGCAAAAAAAATTGATATACGGTAGAGCAGAGAGAGAGAGAGAGCGAAGCCCGCAGCATCTAGAGAGAAATCTAGCCAAAAAGCTAACGTTTGGCCTGGTGCCAAAAAAAATAAAATACTACACATACGAGAAGTGAACTATGGATCAGTAGAAGAGGCGATTTGTATGGCGCCACTCATAGTTTTGTTAGTCGAGGTACGGTGTATATATTATATATATACAATTTTATGAATTTACTTGTTGAAGTAAAACTTTTTTAGGCGCGACATGGGTGTAAATCCGTACAAATGCAACGGAAATTGTTACGCCAAGCTGAAGTGAGAGTCATTCGCTCTCGATGATATGACTTCTATACAGGTCGATTCTGATGTGTGATTTCATAGGTGCGTACGTCCCCGAAAGCATGAAGCATATTGTTCAAATTTCCGTTGTTATGTCAAAACATTTTAAGGTTAAATAGTGGTATAAATATTGAGTTAATAAAAATGTCAGGATCGGAAGAATATTTTATCCCGTCCCCCATAAATAATTGTAGTGCAAATGATCGCAAATAAATAATGGAACTAAGGAAAAATCTGCGCTGCGTAAGAAGTGTAAGTTTATTGAAGTAATTTGTATTATTCGAGTTTTCCGAGGTTATTATATACCTTTGAGGTTATTACTAAAATGGAAAATATTTTCACAAAAGACAGATACTATAGTTGCTCAAAGAACAAACAAGCAGTCAATAATCAAGTTCCACAAACACAATTACATGATAAGTGAAATTGTGAAAACAATATTTCTTCATTGGAAATTTGAAGAAAGTTTACATGTTTCTCTCTTTTATGATGGCTATGAAGACTAATTTTAATTTATTATAATAGTAATTATGAATATTGATGCAGATTCAAAGCCTTTTACAAACTCTGAAAGATCAAGATTACATCGTCAAATAAAACAACTGCAGGAAAATAATCGGTTACTATCAATTTATTAG